CACCAGTTTATCAATGGAAGCCCTAGCGTATTTGGGGAATTGGGGGCGAGCCGGCGAGGAACTTTGAGGAAGTCACTCTGGGATAAGGGGTGCCTCGGTAGCAGCTCTTCCACCATATGAGGGTTGTCATTCTCTTCTACCACCACGTCTCCACTATCAGAAGGAGGCATCGTTGATGATGGGGTGGCTTCAAGTACCTCCTCACAAGAACGACGAGACCTCGGCATAATATGTATGGAGGAGTATCAACACAAAAGGAGGAAAGAAGAAGAAGCTTCGGGTGAAGATCGAAAGAAAAGCAGAAAGATATGAAAGCAAACAAGGAATAACGAAAGAGGTGTTCAAGAAGAGGAATGGCCAAAGTTTTTCAAAAAATCAAACCCTTCACCTATTTATATGATTGGGAGGCGCCAGAAGCGAGGCGGCAAGCTTCAAAGCCGCACAAGAATCGAAGCACCAAGTCGTTAGTACCTACCTCGAAAATATGCGCAATGATGACGCACGTAAAGTTGACATCATTTTCCGGAGAAGTGTACTGCACGATATCTTGCTGAATACGATGACCAATCCCCGTTGGCCACGACATGTCGTTTCCCAGGTCAAATTTCTCCAAAAGAATGCACGAGGTTCGCTCATTGAGGACACATCCGGCCGCGACCCCGACAAGCGGAGGGACTAATTATACGGGTCCAAATTTGACCGACCTCGACCTATGATGAGTACGACCAATGACCGAGTATCTTCGAATCGGCGTCCCGAGAAAGACGACCTTAAGGCACAAGTAGAAACTGTACGACCCTTGTAGAAATGTAAGCCCATTAGGAGACATTGAAAATATTTTGTCGAATATTCCTTTTATTTTTATTTCTTATAATTCTGAATGTTTTCTCTCTAGTATATAAGGAGAAAAAAGATCTTGTAAGAGGGGAGAGACATTCGGAAAGTGAACGAATCTTGAATACGAAGAAACTTTGCAACTCTCTTCTCCTTACCTACTATTAGTCTAGAGATAATTATCTTCAGCTACGATTTACCCCTTCATCTTTGATTGCTTTGTCCAAAAAGGTTTTAACATCTTTTGAGTCAAACAATACAGTCCATACTATTAGCTCTTTAATCTGGAATTTATTATGTCTGACTAAGATTAACCCCTTCATCATCTTTGATTGATTTGTTCAAAAAGATTTTGGTATCTTTTGAGTCAAACAGATACGATTATCCCAAGTAATTTTTCGCCGTCTCTTTCCACGTCGATTATCGTCTAGTCAGATTTTGACCCATGCAATTTACCAATACAGAGCGGAAGAGAGCTGGGTTTTTTAAAAATTTTCACGTGCAGGAATACGTGTGTGTGTGGTATTTGGTATTAAACTCTTCATTTGCGGGGTTACTATCGAAAATCAACCACAGAGTATGGAGGTACACAGATGTTATTTGTCATATAAATAACCCCTAAATAAATAATTTTGTGCATAACCATTTGGCGGGTAAAAGAAATATGCCCAGAGTGCATGCAGCAGGGACGCAGCGAAGTGTCCCACCAGCCTTTTAGCAAGGCAATTTTTACTTGAGCAGAACAGGGACATACATGGTATTTGGAAAGAAGCTGATTTTCTAAAAAGTCGCAAATTATTTTCGGCCGAGGAAAATTGCATGCACGCTGATTTTTGCAAACTGACGACCCAGTAACATTGCTGACACGTGATATACCTTTTTCTGTACCCGAATCACCAAAACGCTTAAAATCAAATTAAGCATGGCCGTTGCATAAAAGGACAAAAAGAAATCACTACATTCATTTAAGAGCTTCTTCATTTAAGGCTTTTCACTCAACCAATTTCAAAAACGGGCAATGGCAAATACGTTAATATGTTTGAAAACCAAGGTTAAACTTGTTGAAGAAATTATTTTAATTCCCACTTTACCCTTGTAAAGCGCACAAACGATTCTTCGCTTCCTATATATGCCCCACCCATACCTGCACAATTATCCACTTCTCATTTGCATTTAGTATTTCCTCTCTCTTCTTTCGACTGTTCTTCTTCTTCTTCTTCGTAACTTTCTCTCTCTTAGGGTTTTCTGTTTCAATGGCGGAAGAGGTTCAGAATGGAGGTGCCGAGAACGGAGCAGCAAAGGCTGTGACTGTCACTTTCACGGCGATGAAGCCTCAGCTGATTGTGGAGGCACCTAAAGCTGGAGATGCCGTACAGTTCTACAAGGCTGCGTTTGGTGCTGAGGAAGTGAACCGTGTGAATCATCCGAAAAGGAAGGCCGAGCAGGAGCTTCCTCTCATCCTCTCTGCTGAACTCAAACTCGGTTCCACTACTTTCCTTGTTTCCAATTCCGACCTCACTGATGACTCTTCTGCTCCGTACGTTTTTTCGAATTTTACTTTTCTCCTTGCATGTTAATGGCTTGCTTTTCTTTTTTTGTTTTATTTCTAGATCTACGCTATACGATGCGATACATAGATTTTTTTTGTTATTTTTATGTGTTTACGATCTACATTTTTGTGATGTTGCTATATATGTTATGCTTCCGTTATTTGTTGCTTGAAAAGTTGTACGTTCCACGAAATATGTTATCGCTATAGAGCTTTTCCCTATTATTTTACTTTTATGTCCGGTTTTTGTGAAATATGTAACTCTACTTTGTTTGCTGCTTTATTTAAGCTTTTTCTGCTAGCTCGTTTTCCTTGGGCTAAATATTTGTCGACTGTGTGTATTATAGAAAGCATAACGTGTTATTAATTTCATATTTTTAAAAAATTAAATTAGTATATAAAAAGCTGGGTAATAGTGTTACTAATTACAAATTTAATTAAAATACTTTTAAAAATATGAGATAAATTTTTATTTGCAAAATAGAAAATCTCTTTTGGCTTTTTAAATAGTAATAGTGCCGTACAATTATACAATGAAACAGAGAATATCATTTTCCTTTCTTTTTGTTTTATCCTTTGATTAGTCTCGTTATTTTGGTCTGTTTTCGTAGTCGTATTCCTCGTGTACTTTTCTTCTCTATCTGAAGTTGTTCTAGATTGAGTATGGCCTTTTGTTTTATCAACGCGCTATGGTCTTTAGTTAATGGATTTTTCCATGGTAGGCCCTATTTTCATGAAACGTAAAGTTTTTCTCCGATCATTAATTGATATTTTTCTGCTTTTCGGTTGGAGGTTATTGACTCCACGAGATCTGTTTATGCTTTGCCATTTCATCCAGTGTATGCCCATGTTTTTCCATTTCAGTAACTTGTGGTATATGTATTTAAGAACATTTGGATTTAAAATTCAAAGACAATCATTCTAAAAGCACTTCTAATATTTTGAAATCTCTTCATATAACCCCATTTAATATACAGTTTGTCTTCTTATGGAGTTTGATCTTATAAAGTTGAAATTAAATGCATTTGTATAGCTCTCACTCAGAAATGGAAAAATATCATTTATTTTGCCGTTTACCGACTTCTTGTGCAAGTTGTGATAGTTTCGTTATTTTTGGGCAGTGTCAAGACTGCAAGCGGATGCGTTTTTTGCTTGGAGACAGAGGATGTGGAAGGTGCTGTGGCCAAGGCCGTGACTGCCGGTGCTGTCTCTGAGGGTGAAATAGCCGAGGGTGATGGGGCTTGTTGTGGTGGACGCGTTGGCAAGCTGAAGGATCCCTATGGCAACGTTTGGCTCGTCTGCTCTCCCAGCAAGAAGTGCGAGTGATATGGATATCAGTAGTTCAGTACTTTTGTTAGGGTCAGCTTGTTGGGGAATCCGGTTCTTTTGTTATTAGGTGGTAAAAGAAACTTTTATGTCGCTGTTAAGCGCGGATGGATTAGGTTAATTAGGCAGTTAGTTTAACAGAATCTGTTTGCTTTTGAACGGTGAAAATGTTGGACACCATTAAACTCTGACAGCTGTCTTCTATTGGCATATAATTACAAGTATGTTTTCTTAGTATTGACCTTATCTAGTCTGCTTTTTAAAATACCGTTTTCTCATAAAAACCATATACCCTTGAAAAACTGAATAAGCAAAAGGTATTATTATCGACTGTCAGCCACTGTAGTTGGTCTCTACTTGATGGGGCAACGCGAATCAGATGCTGTTGTAGCGATTTTATTGCTCGTTCCTCGTTTGAAGATAATGTCGTTATTTTACAACGTTTTCTTTTCATCTTTGATTATAATAATATTAAGAACTATGTGAGAGGCTTTAACGAATGAAATATTTCCTTGATGGTGGCATCAAGGCATGGGTCAGTGGTTAATTAACAGGTGGCTGTTGGTGACTAGGTGGCCATATCGCTAGTATGGCAGGTATTGCATGCGGACACGCGTCCTAAAAGAGCACGAGTAAAAGACCTTTTAAAATACTGTGTAAAGGCGAAGTTACCCTTATGGCGATTGCGTGTATTTCGAGTCATAATCTTTCAGTGGTAAATTTTTAATCCGGAGAAAGATTTATTGTTAGCTTTATTTGACACTTGGACAAAAATATTGGACATTTTGACTCTATATAATACTTGGCCTTGCATGGGACACGCGTCCTAGGAATAGGGATAAAGAAAATTGACCTCTTAAAAAAAACTGAGGGCAGAGTTTACCCCCTTTCGGCGATAGAGATCTGTATTTCCCATCATAATCTTTTCCACTGTTGAATTTGTTATCTGTATTTCCCAAGTATTTGCATTTCATAATCCATCTTTTTAATTGCGATGCCAAAACTTAACGTGATTGGCACTGGATTATTAAAGCTGAGGAGTGGGGAGAGGACATCTGTTTTACGGTCAACAACAACAACAACAACACAGTATAATCCCACACGTGGGGTCTGTTTTACGGTCCCAAAATAGTCCAATCTGATAGAAAGATGTGCAACGTTCTCTCTTTCAAAATCATTGTAAATTCTTTTAGGAACTTGAAACCATTGCACAGCAATTTGAGATGTTCGATGTCTCAGAAGTCAGACTATAATGAAAAATTATATTTGCAGTCAGTAGATAAACACGAACGCTATATATACAATGAAAGCATGTAGAGTTATGCTGCCTTTATCAGAAGAGATGGATACAATAGAGAACATGAAATGTAATTATGAATCAGCCTCTCGTCCTATTACCCAAAAGAAAAAAAGAAAAGAAAAAGACAATTCGAAAGGAACGTACCCTTCAAGTTTTCCTAGTAGAAAGTTGAAAACTTTGTCCAAAGTCTTGTTTGTTTGTGCTTTTGCTTGTTTTTTTTTGGCTGTGAAACCATAATAATAATTTGGGAATTCGTAACTAAATGTTTTTTTTCTTACATAAAGCACCACACCATATGATTGGTGTTCTTTTCTCCGAATTAAATGATTGATCAATCAATAAGTAGTACTACAATAAATGGATTGCCAAAGAATACTCTGTTGGGCCTTGAAAGATAGGTAGTCCTACTTGGAATGGGTTTGCTCCCTTCTCCAGTTCCTACAACGTTGATTTGATAAATGGATTTTTACCTATCTATACCATATATGAAACCTTATTACCCTCAATGTTTAAGGTTTGTGTTTATTACGTTTAAGCATACCAAATTATCATTTCTATACCATAATTCAAATTATGGGCATAATTAATGCTTTATTTATATTAGGCGTTAATTTAGGAGCGTATATTCTCCCATTTTCGTTTACCCACCTCTCTCTCCTCCCACCCCCATACCTCCCACGTTTCTCTCTCCCCTGGACTCGACGACCTCAAACGGATTTAACGGAATTCAAATCTGACTGAAACGCCTCTGTTTTTCGAAGAAGAAAGGGTTCGTTTGATTTTTGTTTTCAGGTGGGAACGACTGTTATCTTGGGAGCTAGGGTGGTTTTTGATTTTTCTCCTTCTGGTTTTCACTTTGAGTTCATCCATAGAGAGAGATCTGAAGATTTCCAACTTTCCCTTCTGATTTTGTTCGTTCATATAAAAACAGAAACAATTTATTCGTAAGATCTGACGAGCGTCGTTTTCCCCCTCCCATTTCTTTCTCTTCTACATTCTTTCTTCTTCTCAAAAAATACAGAGAAAGGTTGGTTTATTTGTCATAAAACAACATGGGCGATATGTTAGTGTCGATCCAATTAATGGAAAAAGACGTGATACTAAATCACTTCTAAACTTCTTCTCATATTTCTTGATTGGAATGATATGAATTGCTTTTTTGGCAGCTTTTATTTGTAGTTTTTTGTAGAAATTTTGTAGATGAAGAGCCAATTGTAGAAATGTGACATCCACAATTAATCTGCAAATTGTCTGCAAAATTTTACAAAAACTACAAATTAACTACATTTAACCTACATTATAACTACAATCTGGAAACAATTTACACATGAAAGTTCTTCAAGTTGGAATTGGTCACAGCTACATTTCTTTTTTTCTTGAAAGAAATTTTGTAGTTTTTTTTTAAAGAAATTTTGTAGTCAATATTTTTTTTCAACATAGATTGTAGTTTAATTGTAGTATAAATGTAGTAATTTTGTAGATATCCTTAAAAACAATACAGCTTTATACAATACTAAAACTGATTTGTAGGAATTTTGTAGATGAATAGAAATTTTGTAGTCAACATAGATCGTAGTTTAATTGTAGTATAAATGTAGTAATTTTATAGATACCCTTAAAAACAATACTGCTTTATACATACTTAAACTAATTTATAGTTTATTTGTAGATAAATGTAGGAATTTTGTAGATATTAACATAAAATCAGACTTCATCTTCTCTTCCTTCTTCTTCACAAAAAATACAGAGAAAATTTTGTAGTCAATATTTTTTTTCAACATAAATTATAGTTTAATTGTAGTATAAATGTAGTAATTTTATAGATACCCTTAAAAACAATACAACTTTATACAATACTTAAACTGATTTGTAGTTTATTTGTAAAAAATTTGTAGATAAGGATTTGTACTGAAAAGAACTATTTTATACAATTATTAAGGATAACACGTCACTACAATTGTGTGTTATATACGTTAATGCATTTATATGGCCATTATGAAGTTTCCATTTTGGTCCTTTACAATATATTATTTTATTCATCCGTAACTGAAGAATAATGACCGAATTAAGACTTTAGTGACTGGATTACCTTTAAAGTTTTTTTTATTTTAGGAATTTTTACCTTCCTATATCACATAAGGAAACAAATATGATGTGAATATGAAAAGATATTTAGTCCCAAATTTTTAGGCGCCTAATTTGGAAGGAATAAGCTATTCAAATATTTATCCCAGATTTGTAGGCGCCTAATTTGGAAGGAATCAGCTTTTAATATTGGGTATTTAATGAATGGTATAAATTTTGTAGGAAAAATATAAACATGACGGGTAATAATGAAAATATGCACATTTTTAGTAATAAGGTTTCAGATATGGTATAGATAGGTAAAAATCTCATTGATAAATGTTACTCCGGTCCATGACAAGTGATCATTTTACTTTTGACACGTTCATTAAGAAAAATAATTTTTACTTTTCTATACATTATTTGAAACCTTATTACACTCTCTGCTCAAGTTTCAATTTAATTACATGATCATATACAATTTACCAATTATGTATAAATAAGTTTTAAATGAATATTCCTTTATATTAGGAATTGAATAAGGAATATCAGTTATTTCCTTATCAATTTCTCTCTCTCTCTCTCTCTCTCTCTCTCTCTCTCTCTCTCTCTCTCTNAATTAGTTTTAAATGAGTATCTCTTTATATTATGAATCGAATAAGGAATCAGTTATTTCCCACCTATTCTCTCTTCTGCTCTCTCTCTCTCTCTCTCTCTCTCTCTCTCTCTCTCTCTCTCTCTCTCTCTCTCTCTCTCCTTCTCCGTTTTCCCCCAAATTTTTCTTCATTTGATGTTCTATGTTTTTTATGCTTTCTTATTGTATGTAGTTTTAATGAGAAAATGCATAACGTACCTATTAAACTTGTCCGGAAAAATTATTTACACATCTAAACTTTACGGGCGATCTTTTACCCCACCTATTCTAAACTTAAGTGAATTTAATACCTTCTTGAATGATGACATGGCGTAAAACGTGTAGTTATACGCGTGAAGGCAAAAAAAATAACTTAAAACTAATTTAATGGTCCAGGTATCACTTTCCTATTGGATATTATAACTAATTAACGTAATACTATTTTTTCTCTTTTCTTATTCATTTTTCTTTTCTTTTTCGTTTTTTTTCTCTTTCTTCATTTAACATAAGCAGTGAGCGGGGCGCTACCTTGGCTAAAATATCCTTTTCCGGTGACCTTATTCTTATCTACATCCTACTTCAATTGAGATTTTCTTCATCCGATTTTTCATCTATTTGCTGCAAAATACCTCTTTAGAACCAGAAATAATGTTTAAAATAAGACAAGGTGTCACCGGAAAATTCTCTGGCCGGAGAAAATTTGTAGGTCCTTAACTAGTGGCTCTATATCTCAGATTTTATTCACCCTTCCAATACAAAACTAGTAGGAATAAAGTGATAGAAATTCTACTAAGGAAACTCATACGAAGAAAATTAGGAGCACAAGCCCAACTCATCAAAAAATAGGTACCAACGATACCAAACTTTCCGGCCAACCCAAAATTTCTCTCTATCCCAAGCTTTCCGACGTTTTTTCTCCTTAGTTTCGTATAATGTCAAAGCCACAAATAAATTTATCTACAATGAAAAAAGAAGAATAGAGATAGAGTTATTTAAGGGAGGTTATGGCTATGAATGGCTTCCACAGTGGCAGCGGCAAAAATAATGAGGAAGAAAGATGAAGAAGATGAAATGAAAAAATATAGAAAAGGAAAGAAGAAGTATATATATATATATATATATATATATATATATATATATATATATATATATAATAGTGTAACATTTGATACATGTATGATGCGTGTTAACACACCCCACCACAAGACTGGTTCAGTATTTTGATTGAGGTATTAAATT